CTCCATGAATAAAATAAAAACGCAAAGGAGAAAAAGGAAAAATCAAGTCCACTCAAACAGCCCTCTCAACAGACCTAACTGCAGGAAAGCTTCTAGAGAGCAGGGCCGTGTCTGTCTTCAGGGAACCCCAGCAGAAAGGGGGCTTGCCAGGGCAAGGACAGAATCTGCAGTTGTGAGGCTGGCGTCTCTCTCCAGAAATATGGTTGACCTTGAGGGTGGTGAAGGCGAAGACAGGGAGGGAAGGAAGTAGAGGCCTCGTGGCTTATGTCTGGGCCATGCAGGCAGCTCGGACTAACACGGAACCCTCAGAACAACTCCATAGGGTCCCTGCTGTCTGTACCCCCATTTTGCAGATGAGAAGGTGGAGGCACAGAGAGCCCTTCGCTGGAGGAAGCCATGAGGGGAGCCGCATTGGAGGAGGGATCAGATCGGCCCCTAAGCCTGGCTGTGGTTGCCCACTCTGGCCCTTGGCTCGGAGCTGTGACAACTTCCCCTCGGAATCACCCAGCTACTTCCCACCTCAGGCCCTTTACACACACGCTTCTCTCTGCCAGCAACTCAGGCTCCCTCCTCCTCCTCCAGGCTCTCAGCCAGACCACCACTGAGACCCTCTGTGTTTTGGCCTCATTTACACTGTACTTTTCCTTCTCAGGATTGTTTGAAACTGGAATTAAATAATTATTTATGTGGCCATTTATTAAAAGTCAGCCTCCCCATGAGAGAACAAGTCCCAGCAAGGCGGGCCTGGGGTCCTTGTTCATTATTTTACCCTCAGTTCTGGCACACAGTAGGCACACAATCAATCAATAAATGTTGAATAAACAAATGAACAGAGGAATGAACTTCTTTCCTGGGGGGAGTCTGGGGGGGTAATCTTCCCTCCCCAGGATGACTGTTCCTTATCAGCTGATGCAAGTTTGCCTGGGAGAGAGCATGACTTTCAAGTAATAAAACGGTAAACAGAAGTCACAAATTTAGATTGTATATATTTGTGCACTTAAAGTGCACATGCGCATGGGTGTGCATGGGTGCGTGTGGATGGGGAGAAGGCAGTCATTTGGTCGCTTTCGGCAAAGCACCCCTTGCCCTACCCTTGGGACTCTTCCGGGATACTGGTTTCCAGGCTGCAAAAGAACCCTATTTTATTTTGCTTTATTGTCCTACCTTGTTTTTGGCACCCACGGCCTCTCCTGCTCTGGGTGACACCTGCTTCTTTTTGAAACTCGGGGAAGAAGCCCCACCTGCTGTGTCTGGCTCATGATTAGGACCAAGCACAACTGGGTGGCACAAGGCAGCACCTTGGCCGGGAGGTGCCCCTCCTCCAGCGTAGCCATGACTTGGAAGAAGACACCCATTCATGGTAGCAGGTCTTACTTGTTTTCAAAAACATCAACCTGTCACTTCTCTTGCATTTACGCTGGTGGCTTCTCACAGTCCACAGAGGGTTTTCCCAGCCATTCCTCTGGGGAGGGCGGCTGAAGGAGAGGTGGTGGGGCCCTTCCCACAGGGGGGCCCAGACCCTCGTATGCCCTGCTGGAAGCAGGTACCTGGGGTATAAGATGCCATCTGAAAAATGACCTTTGTCTGGTCCCAGGTCACCAGGCTGGTGAGAAGCAAGGCCCAGGAGGCATGCCAGTTAGCCTCGCTCCCGGCTGGTGCCCCCTGAGACCCTTCAAGTAGGAGTTACAGGCTTTTTGCTGCTCTGGAATTTTCCTTAAAATAGCTTTTTTTTTTCCCCTGGAAGGAGTTAAAAATGAAACAAGCTTCAGAGAAAGTGGGGGAGGTGGGGCCCAGGTCCAGCTCCCCCCACACCCTGACTCCACTGAGCTGTGAGATAGCAGCCGGGTCCTGGTGGGGGGAGCAGGGAGGGGGGAGCGAACACGCTCCACTGCCACCCACGACTCCAAACAACTTTGCGCCCTTCTCCAGGACTCCCAGCTTTTGTGGATTGGTTCTGGGTAGGCTGGCCCCCGCCCCATCATGTTACCCCCACCTCTGGCCCCTGGGCCTTCTACAGTTCCCTGTGGGTGGCAAAGGGCAGCCCTGTGGGCTCTTGGCCCCTGGCTCCCTCCTTTCCTCCAGAACACCCCTTCCCCACTGAGCTTCTGTCCACACCCCTCTGTCCAGGCTCCTGGCTGGGCAGGCCTGGGGGCTGCTCTCCGCCCCTTCCTCCAAGGAGAGGCAGCCTGCAGCGAGGGCACCCCGAGCCAGGCCAATCCCCCCTCCCCCAGCGAGTGCCATCTGCCGCCTGTCAGCCTCTCTCCGCGGGCCTCGATCCCAGGCGCCGGCGGGGGTGGGGGAGCTGCTGATTCGGCCCCTCCTTCCTGGCTCCTTCCCAGGCGCCTCACGGCCTCTGCCCTCGCTTTGGCCCTTGGCACCCCTCTCAGCCTAACCCCGGCCATCCCGGAGCTGCGGGGGGCAGCTCCCACTTTCCTCGGGAAGACCGAGGCTTTGGACACTGTCAGACGCAATAGCTGGGGAGGGTGGTGACCCGGGGGTGGGGGTGAGATCGTCACTCGAGGAGGGGTCGACCCTCGGGGACTGGGTCGCAGCTCGGGGACTTCTCTGTCCTGGTCGCTCTGGGGACGCCTCCTGGTTCTGTCTCCCGGTGTCCAGGTGTCCCGCTGGTCTTCGCGTCTCGCCCGACTGTACCTCGGAGGCCGCCTCGAGAGCGCAAGCTTGTTCCCCTCCTCCCTCAGGCCTTTCCCCGCACCCACGGCCCTCGCTCCCCGGCCGCGGGACTTCGAGGCGGCGTCGCCCCAGCAATCAGCTCAGCCCCCTGCTCGGAGAGGGGAGCAGGGCCGGGTGGGACTGCGGGCCCGGCTGGCGGGCGAGCGGGCTTGGGAACGGCGGGGCGCAGGCGCCCTGCTTGGGGCGGGCGCCGCTGCCCGGCCGGCCCGGCGCGGCTCTCAGCGGGCAGCGGATTTTTCCGTGAGAGGTTGCCCTGGGTAACTAGTCTCCGGCGGGACACAGTCCTCCCCTCTCCAAGTGGCAATTTATTGATCCGCGAGATTGATAACCCCCAGCGCCGCGCCGCGCCGCGCCGCGCCGCGCACCCGCTTGGCTCTGCAGCTCTGGGGCGAGCGGCCCAAGGTGGCGCCACACGCCCAAAAGGGAGGTCGATGTCGGGGCCAGTCCCCCACCCCGGGCCTGGCCGCCTGCTGCTGGTGGGGGAGGGGAGGCTGCAAAGGATCAGTTTAGGGGAGCTTCCTGTGACCAACTTTTCCGAAGTCCGAGCCTCTCCCAGCTGGTTGGAGATCAGAGCCTCAACTGGTCTAGTGCTGCAGTGATGCGAGACGCCCCCTGGTGGCTGGGGCAAAACTTCGTGGAAAGTAGAAGAGGTTTCTTTCGTTAACCGCGGGGAGGGCAGTGCTACAATCCTGTTTTGGAGCTAAGATGGTCCTTTACAGTGTTGACTAAGAAGTGCGCAACCAGACGCGGGAACCCTACAAATGCGGGTTTGGGGGAAACAGTTAGTCCAGTGGCTTAAGAGTCTGTGGATGTGGGGCTCCGAAGGTCTTCAAACACTGACCTTTGAACAAAATCCAAGTGAAAAGCCAGGTCCAGGGATAACTTGTTCATGGGACATAATTTGCGGAGAAGGCAATCTGGGGCAATTCACCCCAGTTTGGTGCCCCCACCCTTCTCTCACTTTGTACAGTTTGTGATGCTGATGCATCTGAGCAAGTTTGACAGCACGCTTGGGCCCCGTGTCTGTTTCCTCCTCCCGCCCCCACTGCCGATAGGGCCCTAGTCAGCGCCCAGCGTGCCGGTGCGGTGTCCGCGCCCGCGCCGTGCCTGCCGCCGCTGCCGCCGCGGTCCGGGTTTTGCGGGCGGCCGGAGCTGTATTTCCAGCGCTGTCCATCGCTCGGTGCTGTTGGCCCTCTCTCCGTCTGATCCGAGCCGGAGCAGTGCGGGGCGCCCCACGGGATCAGAGCGCTCCCCCGCCGGGACTCCGCTCCTCACATCCTCCTGCTGGGACCCGGCTACATTTCCAGCCAAGCCTGGCTTTATTATGTGTCTCTGCAGTGCAGCCCCAGCAGCCGGATCGGGAGGAGGAGAGCCAGCGACCACAAAGAAGACAGGAGCGCAAGGGAGGCTGGCGGGCGGGCCGGCGCCGGCTGGAGCGCGGAGGAGCCGGGGCGCAGCCGCCGCCGCCGCCGCCGCCGCCGCTGCTGGGGAGGACGAGAGCCCAGCCGCCGCCTGCTCGTCCTCCTCCTCTTCCTCCGCCGCCGCCGCGGCCGCCGCCTCCCCTGTCTCCGAGCCCCTGGCCCATGGAGGTAGCTAGCGGGGCCGGCGACTTGGCACCGGCCTGGGGATCGGCTGCGCGCCGCGCGCGCTGAACACCGCAGCCCGAGGGCAGGCAGCGGCGGCCCGGCGCAAGGGCAGAGCGATGCCTGGGGCACGGGTGCGCCTACCCGCCACCGCCTGAGCGCCCCTGCGCGCCCCTTCTTCCTCCGGGGGGCTGGCGACAGATCGAGCCGAGAGCCAGAAAAGGGGGCGTGAGCCAGGGGCCCCCGAGCTGCGGCTTCTGAGCCACTGCTGCCGTTTCGAGCCCCCACCCCCCAAGTAGGCTGAGTTGAGGGACCCCCCCATCCATCATCATCTCCAAACCAGGCGTTTGGGCATTTTTTTAGCCGTGAATATTTATTATTTTTTTGTGCAGCAGGGAATAATTAGAAATATTTTTTCCCCCCGGGGTGTACCGGGCTTCCGTGCTCCCGACCGCCTCCCGGTCTCCTCCCCCCCTGAGACCCCCTCGACTCCAGCCCCGTCCCCCCTCCTCAGATGGGTTCATTGTGAGCTCCGCACCGGGCTGCGTGGCCGGACGCCTGCAAACTTTGCACAAAAATCCGGCAAGGGGCGGAGGAGAAGGAGGAGGAGGGTGAGGGTGGCGGTGGGGTGGGGAGGGAGGGAGGGGGCCGCAGGGGCCGGGGGCCGGCGGGGGGTGGGGAGGAGGAGGGGGGCGGCTTTTTTTTTTTTTTTTTTTTTTGCATAACTCGGCTCGGCCGAGTGGCCTCCGGACTCCCCGCGCCGCTGGGACCGCCGCTGGGACCTCGAGCCCCCGGCTGCCGCATTGCAACAGGCAGGGCCCAGGCGCGCCCCCCGGGCCTCCCCCCGCCCCCGAGCGGCCTCGGCCTGCCCCGGCCGTCCCCCCCAGGGAGGCCGCCCCGGACCTACGATCCGTTCCCCGAAGCCGCCGATCCGGCTGCAAAAAAAAAAGTTTCCGAGAGGCAGGCGTTGGAGAAGGGGGAGAAGGGCAGCCCGGAGCGGCAGGGGGCGGCGGGGGGAGCCGGCCGCGAAGGGCGACGGAGCGTCGGGAGCCCCGGACATGTCCAGGCGGAAGCAAGCGAAGCCGCGCTCGGTGAAAGGTGAGCGAGCGAGGCCGGGCGGAGGCGCGACGAGCGAGGAGGGAGGGAGCGAGCGAGGGAGGAGGAGGGACCGGCGAGCGGGCGGGCGGCCGGGGACCCGCACGAGCGAGCGGGAGGAGGAGGAGGAGGCGGAGGCGGAGGAGGGGGAGGAGGAAGCCGGGATCGGGAGGCGGCGGCGGCGGAGGGGGCGCCGCGGACACCCTCCCTGCCCCGACCCTCTCCAGCCCGGCGCCGCCGCCTGCGGTGGACCTGGGCCTGGGGGCGCCGCGGAGGGGCCCTCGCTGCTTCCTGCGTGCTGACCCCGGGCCCGCGTGGCCAATCAAGGGGTGCGGGCCCAACTTGGCGGGGATTGCAAATCTCGGTGGTGGCGGGCGGGCCGGCCGGCGGGAGGAAGGAAGAGGCGGTGAGGCCGGACTCCCGGGAGGCTGGCAGCTCCAAGGCCACTGTCTCTGGGCCCCGGGCCTCGCCGCCTTTCCCCGACCCCCACCTTGTCGCCCCGGGACTCGGAGGGCTGGGAGCATTGCTTGCACGCTGCCCGGCCACCGGGTGTCCCCTGGCCACACTGCGCACCCGACTCGGGCCCCCGCACTTCCTGCTTCTTCCACCCGGCCAGGAGCCTCCGGCAGGAGTTCATTGTCTGCGCTGCACTGGCGGGACGCAGGTCCCCGGGGGAGTTCAGCGACTGCTGGCGCGCCCTTCTGTGGAGGGCGCCCGGACCCTACTCGGTGCACCCGCACCCGCACCTGCACCCCTAGACACCCAGGCCAGCTTCCAGTATGTTTCCCTGGAGTGCACACATTTGTGAGGACACACACACACACACACACACACACACACACACATACACACACACCCCTTGTCTTCTTGCTCTGCCTTCTATTTCCACCGACGCCCCCATCTTGAGTGGCCCCTGGAGAGGAGACGCCGGCCCTGGGAGAGGCCATGGTAGACTGAACCCCTCCCCTGCGCTTCTCTCCCACCAGCTGCCTCTCCAGGCCTAGCCTGCTGCTTTGTCCCCATTCCAGCCCCTGGCGTGGGTGCCCAGCCGCCCTGGTTGATGACAGAGGAGGGAGAGGATGGTAGCAGCGGAGTCTCTAGAGCCAAAAGTCCTGAGGCCCTTGTCTTCTCCCAACTCCCCTGATGACCTCTGGCCCCAGCCAGTTCTGCTCTGCAAAGTTCATTTCCTGGAGGCCTGCGATGGGGCTCTGGGGCCAGCTCCCTTCCTGCCTGCCAGCCGCCTCCTGGCTGGAAGGCTGGACTGAGCAGGCAGTGGTTGTCCTGAGACACCCGCCACTGCTCTCCTAAATGCCCAGGAGATTCCTGGTACCCCGATCAGCAGAGACCTGGCCAGCTCAGAAGCAGACCAGCTCCGTCCAAACTCTCAGCCACTGGCTGTACCTCCTTTTCTTTTTCCTTGGAGACAAGTGGCTCTCGGTCCCCTCACCCTGACAGGCTTCCCAGTCTGGGACAGCCAGGCCTGCTCCGCAGAACTGGGGGTCAGCGGGGTGTTCTGACTGGGAGACAAGGAAACCAGAAGAGAGACCCCGAGAAGGGGACAGGAAGACAGTAGATGTTTGTCCATTTGTTGATTAGAAGGGCTCTGAGGTTTGAAATGATATTCGATTTCTTTTTCTCGGGCTTACTGCTCACGACTTCAAGAGCCACCGAAGGTGGCCCAGAAGGAAACGCAGAATCCGCATCTCTGGGTGGGGAAACAGTTGCATTTAACCCGGGCAGTTGATTTTGACTTAACTGTACACAGGAGCAGATTTGCCTAAAGGAAGATGTAGAGCTTACGTACGTCTAACATCCATGTATGCCTCCTAACTTTATTTTATTTAAAAAAATTTAGTGATTGATTTTAGAGAGAAAAACATTGATTTGTTGATTACTCCTGTGTGCACTCATTGGCTGACCAGACAGCCTGGAACACTGGCCTACCGCCATGCTCTAACCCACCGAGCTCCGTGCCAGGGCCCTAACTCCGTAGTTCCGAAGGGGAGACGCAGAAACAGAGGTAGAGCTGTTTGCGGTGAACAGATGGGCGGGCGGTTCCGAGCTGCCTGAACTTCGTTCTAGAACCGCTCTGCATCTCTGAGAAAGCTTCAAGAATTGGCCTTCAGCCTTTCATGAAATGAGCCTTGACGTGGCTGTAAATGAGTGACTCTCTCTGGATGTGTATGTGTAGATGTATAGCAGACAGTCCCAGCTAATGCTGAGGGGAAGAGACGGCAAAGTAGGAACAAGGCCAGTCCAGGCATTTTTGCCAAGGGTGGTAAATATCAGCCACAAAGCACCTCTCTGCCCTTGGAGTCTGAGATCCTCCGTTTCTCCCTGTGGTTCTTTGCACTTTCACAAAGCAGCTCCAACCCTTGCTGCTCACCATTTCGCTTTTTATTCAGTTTACTGGGATGAATAGGGTAGAGACCTGGCCACTTATCAAGGGAGGAATTAAGAGAGAAGATAATTTGAAAAGATAAGAGATGCAGCAGGTGATGGATTTATTGCTTTTCAAGAACTGCCCCCCTCCCCCTTTCTCAAGCAATATTCAAAAGTGTGTGCTTGAGTGTAGACAGTTCCACACCAGGCATTAAAAACGACAGGTCCTCACCTTTAAAGATGCTTGAAGGTGCTTCTTAAGGAACAGTGGTGCCTTTTAAATTTTGTTTTATTTTATTTCGCCTCCACTGCTGTGTGTCAGGGCATTGTGGACTTCCCCAGCCTGTGAAAGTCGCTTGGCTGTAATTTGTAATTGATCTCGGAAATGTGAAAGCCCATAGCAGGGAGGAAGGACAGAAATATAACAATTTCTAATGGATGCTCAGAAAGTGTGATTTGAAAGCATAGGCATTGCTGCTCTGAAAAGCAAACAGGCTTCCGGGGGGCCGTGGGGGAGGTCACTTCCCATTACGGACACAACCTCCCTTCTGGAGTGGGGTCACTTGTCCCCTGGGATGGTTGTCCTTTTTTGGAAAACCCAGCTCCGAGCGAGGGCACCCAGCACATAGGGAAGGGAGCCAGGGCAGCAGGGCCGGGGGGAGAAGAGCCTTCACTGGTTTTCAAAAGCCTCGTGATTTAAAAAAAAAACCCACCCCCAAACAATGCATGTTGTAAAAGTCACATTTTCTGACAGATTTTTTCCCTCGCTACACCCTTCTCCCTGTTTTGTTTCCAGGTGGCGTGTGTGATGGTTCGTTCCCTTCACTGATTTTGGCCTCATTCTGGGGGCTGTTCTTACCACATCTCTCTGATATTATTTTGGGTGATAGTACATGTCAGGTTGTTCCTCACTGGTCTCTCACTCACACCGCCTCTGCAGAGCCACGAAACAGCCTCTTCGCTTGTGTGGAAAACGAATGCATCTTTTTCCCAGCCTCAGCTGAAAACTTTTGAATAATCTGTGATACTGTCAATTTTCTTCATCTAACAACAGCCTGTTAATTACAGTTCTTAATGTTAATTAGTAGTGAGGCTGTGCCCACCCCACCCCCCAGCCCCAACATCCAAAACGACCTCCTTCGCTGCACACCCCTCCCCTGCTCAGCACCCCCTGCCAGCCCCTAGCTCCTCAGAAGTCCGGCTTACAAATTCGGTGGTCTAGGGACTCGGGAACAGTGTAGCGCCACTGCTCCTGTTTCCATGGAAATAATTGAGATGTAATAAATAGAGGCGTTCTGAGGTTACAGGTTTCTTGATTCAGCTGAGACCACATACAAGTGTAAATTGTTGAGATTTGTTTGGCTAAATGTACATGATCTTGTAGGAAGGGCAAAACAAATCCTTTATAGGTTCTTTAGCTTTCCATGTGGACTGGGGCAGCTGACACCTAATCCTAATATTTAATCCCCCCTCCCACTAAGTCACCCATTCCCAGCTTTGGAAGGGCCTGTCGTATCCTCAGAAACATCTAGTAATTGCCGTGTAGATTCTCACACCTGTTTCCTTGCGACAACATAGTGAGCGATACAATAAAGATAACTGTGGGCCTTCAGAAGGACCCTGCTAAACGTTCAATCATAGGTGCCCAGGCGCACTAATAAGGAAAGGGGCAAAATGCTGGTGACTTCAGTCATCAAGTCATCGGGCGGAACCTGTGAGCCCTGGCACTGTGGTGGCATGCCACAGGGTGTTTGGGGGGAGGGGGAGACCAGAGAGCGGCGTCTCTGAACACCGAGTTCTAGCTGGGGATGAAAGGCTGGGGATCTGGTTCAGTCTAATAGAAAGGTGCAATAATTGCTGTATCGGTAGCCAACTCTTAAGCTGGTGGCTGTGGAATTCTTCCCCTGACGTAGGATTTAATAGTCTGGCAATTAGATGCATTGATTTCTCTTAACTGTTCATTTGGATGTGTAAACGCAAGAAGCCTGCAACTGAGGCTGGTCGTGCACGCTGGCTGCCTGGCTCTCGGAAAAAGCCTACAGAGGTGGTGGTGGTGGGAGAACAGGACTCCTCCCTGCTGCGTTGGGGCCAGTTCCCTCTTCTTTGATAATTTCTGCCCATTTTGCAGTGAAGGGAGCAGTACCTCTTGTTCAGGTGCTGTGTAAAAATAAACAGTGGTGTCCAGTTACGTCGGAAGAGTAAAAGCATCCTTTTCTGCTGCAGGTGCTAGTACGGTAACATCTCTGTAGTCGAGTAACTAGACTCCCTGCGTATTTTTGACAGATGATCTGTTAGGGACCAGAGGGAAAAGGCATGGAACACTTTGGCTCGGAATTCCAGAGGGACCCCCGGCTGGAAATGGAGAGTTCTTCTCCCGCCCTCCTCAACGCTAGTCTTTGACTTGGGGCCACCTACCCAGCGGCTCTGTCCAGCCCTGAAGACGGGCGGGGCATGGCACGTTGGAGCCCTTGGCAGGCTGTGGATGCTGGGATGCAATGGTTTGGAGAGTAAATAATGAGCACTTGCCAAGAGCAGCACCTCTTCATGCCCTGCTCCTGGGCCAGTGAAGGGCACCAGGGTCTCGCGTGCAGGCACCCCAGACTGGGTTGATGGTGAGCGAG